GAATCCAGCTCCACATCTCCGACAGTAAGAGACGGGGACGATGCCGACCTTGTACTCAGCAATCTTGAGGAACATGGGTATGGCCAGGTCGAAGTGGGTGCGGGGAGGGTTGCACCAGCTCTATCCGAATGGCTCTCAGCCTCTTCTCTCTCTTGCATCTCATCGACTTCGTCATTGTTTCTGCATCGCCTTTGCCTCTCTTGATTTTGTGGCTGCGGAAGATTGCGTGGGCAGCCATGGAAGAGAGAACTGATCATTAAGTTAGCTACTTTAGCAAGACCATAATCCAAAATTCCAACCACATCCAAAACTATGCGGAGCTCAATCCCATCGTTTCCATCAATGTTTAGTACATACTTGACACGGATTCTATTTAATTCCCGCTTAAACCGCACCGCATTTCCGATGAACCTCACAAGCACCTCTTAAATCTACAAACCCAAACCGAATTCCTCTCCTGAAAGCATTATGACCACTCCTTCCTCAGCAAGCTGTACACCACGGGTTCTCTCTCATCGATACGATCATCATCAGAAATCGTAAGAGCTTTCTTCAGCTCTCTCAGTTCCTCAGCGGCGAATCTCAGTCGTCCATTCCTCAACCCCTCTCTCGCGCCATTCAACTTTTCACTTATTGCCATAATTGCCCTCATCAACTCCAACAATGCCTTCTTCTCCCTCACCTCTTTCGTCGTGGCGCTCATCTTCTTTATAATCTGCCCGATCTTCGCCTTGATCGGGCGGTTGGAAATCGAACTCAAAAGCTGATCGACGTCGTCGGAGATTTGATTAGAGCGTGTAACGGCGTCGTTGTAGATGGAGAAGAGGTTGGCGAAATCCTGGTGGTGAGGGAGGAGGTAAGATTGGATTTTGGACTTGATTTGGAGTGAGTAGGAGTCGAGGCGTTGGATGAGGAGGCGAAGATCCGGTGCGAACAGAGGGGTCATGGGGTCGCTGAGGTCTTGCTCCGACAGGAGCTCTCGAACGTTGATTGAGTCGAAAAGGACGTCCATTTCCGGCGAATCGCCTGGCTGGGACTGCCATTTGGGGAGACTTAGTCGAACTCGGAAGAGTGTAGCTTGTATCGGAATGGTGGATGAAGAACGAAGAGACGGGATTAACGGAGGTTTTAGGCGGAGTGTGATAACTTAGTCGCATCCCAGCCGTCCAGCGCGCCAAGCGGGTCGTATAGGTTACGCTTAAATGCCGTTAACGCTTGGATCTCCGATAAAGATGTTTGTCGTTGAGTGGGCGTTAAAGCGGTGGCGAAGCAAAAGAGAACAACAAATGTTGCAGAGAGAGACTGAGTGAGAGAGAAGGTGGCTCTGTGGGTTTTCTGGAAAAGTTTTGGGTTCTTGGTTTCTGCAGATTCACGGTGGATATTGTGGTGAGGTTTCACGGTAGTGAGATGAAAAAAATGAAAAAGAACCGACGTAGCTTTTCGTGTCGATTTCCCACAGACGGCGCTAAATGTTGATGCACAAAACCGGAAGGGTCTTGGAACAACGTAAATCCGACCGTGAATCTGTAAGAAAGTAAAGAACACAAGATGTATCGTGATTCACCTCAATGTTTGGGCTACGTCTACACTGATGTTGATATTGTTTCACTCTGAATGGTGAATATACAAAAAGGCTAGAGGCAATGTGCTATCTAACCTATTTTCTGTGTTTACCCTCTCTGAGACGTTTTCTCTCTTCCCATGGACTAAACCTTCTCTGCTTGATGAAGAGAGTGAGGAGTCCTTTTATAGAATAAGGACTCTTCACTTATTACATGTTTGCCCCTTCATTTATTACATAATTATATTTGAGTCCCCGAGTATTTATACAATGTCTAAATATAGAGGCCCTAAATATGGTACAAACAGTAGTCCCCAGCCTTAGACTATGATGAACAGGAAAAATACCAAGTCGTCAGAAAATGCCATCAACTTTTGAAAAAGAAAACTTTCATCATGTATGTTCCCACTTTTCTAAAAAAACTACAGGAAAATGAGCAAGTGGATGTATTTAAAGAGACTAATTTGCTGCTGATTTGAAGGTGGACGGTATGGAAAAGCTAAGGGTGTATTTGCTGTAAAGCAGACGTGCAAATCTGCAAAGATAAGACATTGAGCATCATTCCCACTATGCCCATGTCTCTCCTCTGCCACACTCAATCATCCATTCGCACTCATGAAAAACAACCACAAAGATAAGACTCTTATCTTTACAACCCATACCCATTGTCATTGATGAATATTTTATTAAGTTGTTTTCTACAAACTGGAGCAATTATTGTATAGTTATACTGATGTGTAAAGAAGGCAGCATGCAAAAAAAAAAAAATGTCGGCAAGCCCAAAATAATGGGCTGGAATGTTATGTGGAGGACAAAGACCCATATATCTAAAAAAGCCAGGCCCTATGGCTTCAAACTCCAACCTTCATTCCTTCACTTACGGTTCATCCTTTATTATCACCAACCAGGTCATCAAAAGTATGTCCAATACTCCAAAATTATTCGGCAGTTTGCCGCTATTATCACCAACTAGGTGATCAAAAGTACGTCCAGTACTCCAAAATTATTCGACAGCCTGCTGCTATTATCACCAATCAGGTGATCAAAAGTACGTCCAGTAGTCCAAAATTATACATGAGCATCACTCATGTCAATCATACACAAACATTCATGAGCATCACTCATGTCAACATTCATGAGCATCACTCATGTCAATCAGCTTTGAAAGCTTCATTTACAGAGCTCCAGCTTCGAAAACTTTATTTACAAAGCTCCGACTTCAAAAGCTTTATTTACAAAAGCTCAAGCTTCAAAGCTTCACTTTCAAAGCTTCACCTACAAAGCTTCAATGCATGGTATACAAAGACCATCTCCGAACAACCGCCACTTCGGCCCATACATGGATTGAATTTCAAGTCTCCAGCCAAAAGACTCTTGACTGAAAACTTGGAGAACTACTGTTGGTACCATATTATATTGGGCCTCGTTACTTGGGCTTCCAGACATTAAACCCATGATTCATGTAAAAGGGAGGAGCCCTTAATCTATAAAAAAGTCTCCTCACCCTCATAATCAAAAGATCACATCCTCACATACAAAGCCACAAGGCTCACAAACAGAGAAATTCTCTCAAACTCTCTCTTTCTCTAGGGGACTCCCCCTCACACTTGTAATCCATACATACAGTTACAGAGAAATACGATCAACATTAGTGTGGACGTAGCCCAAACATTGGGGTGAACCACAATACATCTTGTGTTCTTTACTTTCTTGCAGATTCACGAGCGGATTTACGTTGTTCCAAGACCCCTCCGATTTTGTGCATCAACTGTAATTCTCTATTATATTGCCGGAAGAAACTTACTCGTAAAATAGGTTTATTATGATATTAGGGTTGTAAATGGAACTAAAGATTACGCGAGCTAGTTTGCTTCTGGATACCATCTGACTTATTGGTGCTCACTTAGTGATTGTTTTTTTTTTTTCACAATTTGTCAGAAGGTTCTGCTGTTGGTGAAAAGCTGCAAAAGGAACTGCAAAGTTTGAACACCAAAGGTAACTGGGAGTATCCTACAAGGATGCGACTAAATTCGAAAGATCATAGGTTGAGGCTATTTAGATGTATGTTATTCCAGAATGCATGATTTATGTGTTCCTCATACTATGCAGGAGTGCAAGTACGATTCGATTTGAAGGGTGTGCCAAATTCAAGTGCAAAGAAGACACCGGCTGGCAGAGGTAGAGGTGGTTCTGCTGCTGCCAGCGTGAAAAAGGGTGGCCGAGCTGGTGCCAAGAGAAAGAGATAAAGGGAGATGAAAGAAGAGATGGAACTTTTCCTTGCTATGGCGTTGGCAGGTTTTATTGCCATATGTAAATAGATATTTCCTCCGTACATACGTATTTTTGGTAGGTGAGGAATGGTAGGATCGTCGGTTTCAGTTTTAGTTTACAGGGTTGATAGTTGATGCTTGACCTCCAGATTTAGGGCTCGTTTGACAAGTGTTTTTGAACACTTGAAAGCATTTTTAGATAAAATATTTTTTGGAACCTAATCTTAATAAAAATGAAAATTAATTTTGGAAAAGCATTTGAAGTGTTTTAAGCAAGAAACGCATAACAGATGCTTTTAGCAGGAAGCACTTCAAGTGTTTTTGGAATCTAAAAACATTATCTATAAAAACGGTTTCAGTCATTTAAAAACATTTGTCAAATGAGATCTTATAGTTTTGATTGGAGTAGCGTCTTTTAGAAATGTGGTAAGACCCGGGCTAGTCAAGTTGACTAGAACAACATAATCCTCATCATGCAAGTTCGAATTGCTCTCTACGTTGTTTAATTTAGATTAAATCAAATTAGGAATTTTTATGAACTCTCAGTCACCGCAAAGTCAAAATGACCACATAAGCAGTAACGGTAAAAAAGGATAGCAGTAATGTTTTGCAACCGAGAAGTCAAATCTGATGTGGCATGATATGGAATGACATCTCTTTCCCCCTTGTTGTCAAATTTGACAGCAGCTTCAATTTTTTTAATTAATTATTAAATAGCTTAAATGTTAAAATGATCCCAATGTTTTAGTCAATTGGTTAATTTAGTCTATGTTTTCAATTTGGCCAATTTGATCTTTGTTTTATCTTCATTAGCCAATTAAGGGCATTTTCATCTAATCTTTGTAAAAAAAAATATAAATTATTATAAACTTATATATATAATTATAATTTATTTGATTTAAAATATTTAAAATGAAATAAAATTAAAAATTAAAAGAAAAATTATTCTTCTCCCTCCTCTCTAACATTACTTCCTCTCTTTTTTATGTCAAAATATCAAATAAGCTGTCAAATTAAATTTTATATTTAAAATTTGACATCTTCTTTGAAAATGGTTTAATATTAATTTTCGTACTAACAATATAAACATGATGCAAAAACATTAAGAGCTACAGGGTTCCACTTTTGAAAAAAAAATCTTCTTTTAACGTTTCTCAACAAAATAAATGTAAAAGTGTAACCAGACGTTTGGCGGAGCTGACGGAACCATTACCAGACTGATTTATATTTTTCTGTCAAAGAACCGTTACAGACATATGATGACAGTGCCACAATATCCCAAGTTACCGAATCCCTAACCCTGTTAACCCTTCCGTTTCCATCTCCAACGTTCCGTCACTTAACCTCAAACGCCGTCGTCTCTTTCTCTCTCATCAATCTCAAACCCTAACCCTAATGGCTTCCTCCGACAACTTCCCGATGATCGACGCCTCCTCTCACCTCCAAGCTCCAACGCGCCCCGGCGACACCATCGACTCCGCCGCCGCTGCCAACAACGGCAATTTCTTCCCTCCACCCTTCCCGGACGACATTGATCGGAGTCCGAACCCGACCCGAAACTCCAACACTAAACGGAGCTCTTACTACAATAAAAGATTCAAATCTTCCTCCGCTAACCCTAACCCTACCACCAGCACCACCGAAGCCGAGTCGTCCAGCGGGCCCGAAACGGCATCGCAGCGAGGTGACTATCGGAAGGACCGCGAGGAGTGGAGCGACACTGCCATCGGGTGCCTTCTAGAAGCTTACACCGAGAAATTCAACCAGCTGAACAGGGGAAACCTGCGGGGGAGGGACTGGGAAGAGGTGGCGGAGATGCTCAGCGAGCGGTGTGGGACCGGCGGTGCCAATAAGTCGGCGTACAAGACGGTAGAGCAGTGTAAGAATAAGATTGACAATTTGAAGAAAAGGTACAAGGTGGAGCTGCAGAGGATTACTAATAGTGGGTTGGGTGCCAGTCACTGGCATTGGTTTAAGAAGCTTGAGGTCATTTTAGGGAGTTGCGTTGCTGCGAAAGGTGGCGGTGGTTCGGACGAGGAGCGCAGCGTGGGCAGAGCCGGTGGTAATGCGGCTAAGCAGCTGAAGAGGTATTGTAAATTGTAGTAATAAATATGGTTCAAGTTTTTGGTTGAATCCAAGAAACTTTGCTTTGTTAGGTTTTTAATTTTGGATGAACCATGAACGTGAAATATACGACACTGGTTGAACTTGATTCTCTAGTTAGTGTTTGCTTCTGTTCATGTCATGAATCGGATATATTTGTGCCATTGGACTTTAAAAAGTGCGCCCGCCGGAATAAAGTTAGTGGCATTGGTTCCATGTTTCGGTATTGTTACTGGTTGTAGATGATGGTGGAACTACTTTATACGGTTTCTTGCTCGTACGGGTAAAATTGACATGTCGGGTATGTTCGGTTAATGATTATTGGTTTTCTTTTCACAAACAAAACATCTTCATGGAGCGGCAGATATTTCTGTTGGCAGATACACGCCAGGCAGCGCTGCTTTTGGAAACAACCTGAAAGCCAAGTCGATGCCAAATCTAAAATGGCGAAGAGTGATGCTTAAAATTAGTGGTGCTGCATTAGCTGGGGACTGCCAGAGTATCGACCCCAAGGTGCGAGTTTTAGCTAATACGCTACTGAGTTTTATAATATTAGATTATTTGTGCTGAATAAATGAGCTGACCTGCTTCTCTCTGTAATTAGGTAGCAATGCAGATTGCTGAGGAAGTGGCAAGAGCTTGCCACCTTGGAGTGGAGGTATTTCCTAAACTTGTATTTCTTTTTTACCAATGGTTCTGCTTCCGGTACTTTGTAATCTTTTGGTTTGTGTCATAACCTAGTGTTTTGTATTCTATCCTTTCTAAAGGTAGCAATCGTTGTCGGAGGCCGTAATGTCTTTTGTGGAGAGACTTGGGTGTCTTCTACTGGATTGGATAGGTCTACAGCATACCATATTGGGTAACGTCCAAATTTTTTTTTCTCTGTGTGGTCTAATTCTGTTCAATTATAAAGCTTGAATATCATCTTCATTATGTTCCAATGGTCAGTAAGCAAAAACATCAAATTTCTAGTTTTGACGGTGTCTCAACAGTTAGTTATTACTTTTATTTCCAAATTTTATTCTGTCAACTTGGTCAGTAGTCAAATACAATGTTACATAATCAAAACTAGGTTGGGGTACTTAAAGGGAGCCGCGCTTTTGATTCGAGCATGTTGTTTAGTGGCCCTCTGGATCTTTAGGCTTGGTTGCAAAATTGCTGGGTTTGCTAGGTTTCACATATGCAGGCTGTCTGTGCGGAAGTTTTGCAGGGGTCGCTAATATCTATTAGTCTGAATCCTCTGTCTACTTCAGTCCAGAAAAATAAAATACCTTCTTTGCTTCCATCTTTGCAGTTATATCTCAACTTCTTTTACAAATAAATAAGTCAATGTACTTATAAAATCTGAATTGGTAAATGCATGCTGTTTCTCTAACGTTGATTTCTCATCAGTATGATGGCAACAGTCATGAATTCTGTAATACTTCAATCAGCTTTAGAGAAGGTGGGTCTTCAGGCACGTGTTCAAACATCATTAACAATCCCAGAGGTTTCTGAGCCATATAACAGGCTTCGAGCCATACGACATCTTGAGAAAGGAAGAGTTGTTATATTTGGTGGTACTGGTGCCGGCACTGGAAATTATCTTTTCACAACTGATACTGCAGCCTTGCGAGCGTCTGAGAGTAGGAGTCTACCCTGGCCCCGATGTATTTCTTTTGTATTCTACTTATTTTATTTTTCTCTATGTTCTTTTTTCCTTTATTTTTCTATTTCATCTATCAACCTATATAATATATATATATATATATATATATAATATTATATTATATAATTATTTTCTTCTGGTGTCAGTTAATGCAGAGGCAGTCGTCAAGGGCACAAACTTCAATGGCATATATGACTCTCATCCTGGTAACAACAGTGCTAATGTTGATATAATTTGCTATAGGGAGGTTGTTCCTAACAGTAATACCTCCATGGATGCCATGGCATTAACATATTGCGAAGAGAATCGAATTCCAGGTTGGTCTCATTCTTTCCTAATTGCACATATTTTAGCAAATGTTGAACCAACATTTAACTAAAAATAATGTGCTTTCTCTGTAGTTGTGATTTTCAATCTGCTGGAACCTGGAAATATTTCAAGAGCTCTATGTGGAGAACAAGTTGGCACTTTGATTGATCAGACTGGAAGGATTATTTAATGCATATGGAGCCATTCCATCCGGTGTTTTGGAAGTACAGTGTAATTTAATACGAAATACTGGTTGTCCATTTGATGGTCCGATAAGTATGTCAGAGTTCCTGTTTCTGTGGTTCCCCTTGTGTTTGCATCGACATGTAATTTCTCTCAGGAAACTTCAGAGTATGTCGGAGAAAGCGATGAAGCAGGTGAGGTATGGCTGTTGGTTTTGTTGTGAATGCAAAATCATGTAGTAAGAAAGCAAGGAAGCGAGCCGAGTAAGGCCGGTTTAATGTAGATGTGAACATGTAGATGTGAACGATTGTGAAGAAAACAAGGAAGCAGCCGTGTAACTGGTAAAGCATTTCTTTAGTTGTAAATGTAAACAGAGTGTATTCTAAAAAGACTAATGGGATTACAAATGCGATCGCCTGTTTTCAAGCAGTTCTTGACAATCATCACGTGAGTCTACGTTTTTTGTATCTTGCTGTTTCATTTTTGTTTGGTACACCAGAGCTGAAAGTTCGAGTAAATATCAGTGGATGGGTGTTGAGTATTGCATTAGAGTTAGGTTACGCTTATGCCTCATAGTTCCCATTGAATGGTGGAGTTTCGTGTTTTACAGATACCGATGACGTGCAACGCTCACCGGCCGTGCATCAACGATGGTAGGGGGTGTTCATGAGTTGGGGTTCTGTTTTAGGATTGTGAAATCAAAATAATGTTGGTGGGTGGAAGATTAAAGGGCTAAAATCAAGGAGGTTTATTTCACTTTGGGAATGTTTAGGTGATGGTACCTCAATTAAGAGAAGATAAATGCACAGGGTTCTTACCGAAATGCCTTCTGCGAGTCGTTGCTACGATGTAATCGCGATTTTGAGCGTCACCAGTTCGGCAAATCGCTACTTTCGCACACGATCGATCGACATGGCACCCGTACACCGCATTTACAATTCACACGGGGATGAATATTTGGCTAAAAAAAGGGGCTCAATTCAAACAATTACAAAATCATTTAAGTCGGTCTGGATTTTCACTAAAAGAAAAATTTTATTGCATCCGGAGTCCTGGTATACATAAATCGGCTCAAAAACTAACCTCATTTAGGAGATAAAATTGCCTCCTTTGAAAACTAACCTCATTTAGGAGATAAAATTGCCGCCTTTACAATTAACCGTACAAGCAACAACCAAAAATGTAATGAGCCACTTAGTGTAGTGATGTTCCTCTTCACTTATAAGCAAGAGACCTTATGTTCGATTCTCATCAAATGCAAAATTGAACCACATTATTATGACAAACCTATTGAAAGGTCTCACTCCTCAGCTAACTCTAAATCCTCTGTACAATAGATCTAGAGACCCATATTCATATTTTCGGTCCATCCTTCGTCGTTCCTCTCGTTTTCGCTTTAAGGGCATCCCTACCAAAAATCTTGGAACTATCCTAAAAGAAACTTTGAAGTCTATATGGGAATTTCCAACGTTGCGGGAGTAGTGAGGTTGGTCCGATACCTCCAAGAATGCTCCAAAAGATATTATATTCACACCCCAAATTACTTCTCACACACCTTTTTAATTTTTTAATATTTTCTACACACCACTAACACTTGATAGAAAAATATTAAAAAAATTAAAAGGATGTGGGAGAAGTAATTTGGGATGTGTGAATATAATCTCACATGCTCCAAATTTAGATACGATTATTTCGGCTGGAAATAGCTATCATAAATAGAAAGTTTATCAAAATCCTCGTAGTTAGCCTTTAGTCCGAGAAATTGGCTACCCAACTGAGCACAACCAGCTTCTGGCCACCGGCAGCCCCCATCTCGCATGCGTAACGGGCATAACGTTTCACATACTCGGCCGACTGGGTTGCTGGAAGCATCATCATCTGCCATAACTGTGATCGAAACAGAGAGGTCTGATTTCTCATCGCGCTGCACGGTGCCATCCGCTTCTCTTTTTAAATAGTAAGGTGACTTCTGCGAAGGTTCAATTTGGCTGCTCTCGATGTCGAAGGCGCAATCTCCGCTGTTTGAAAAGTGGACCCTGCATCCCAGTGATTGTACAGCTCGCTTTATGGCCTCACTTTCCTTGGTTGCCCTCGTGGCCATCTGCTTAACTGAGCTGCTAACTTGCTTCTCATTTTGCAGTTCTGCGGTTAATGATTCCATCATGGTGGCAATTTCTTTAGCTTTCCTTTCTGCCATTTCTTTTTCCTGCAAGGAGTTTTAGAGCCAATGTAAAATGTTATTATTCAAGTCGCATAAGCAAAAGGTAACATGCCATTTAAGTTTTGGGAAACAATCGATCAGAGACGTACGAAACATAAACCACCATCTTCCACAAACATATTAGGCTTGTCAATAAACAAAAATTTATCAACTATACCAATCCCTCGTTGGCCTTTAAAATGTTTAGATCAACATCATTGGCTTGCTTGACACAAGTACACATTATATTCAGGTTGATTTACCAAATAATTGACCTACAATACAAGCAATAAAATAATCATGTCATATTGACATGAAGAAGGCGAAAACGCTGAAAAGCCACTTGGGCTCAATTTCACAAATAACAATCTACGGTAAAAAGTTTTGGCTGACATGATGATCAATAGCAACTGACAGAGATTATGAATAAAAGATTTAACCACAAATATTTCAAATTTCAAATTGTTTTTGTTTTCATTTCCAAATCCAGTTTGTATGCATTCTTGCTGCAGTTTAGCTAGAATCTTGATCTGTTGGTTTTTCAGTTTTCCTAGAGACCAAAGAGGGCCTTATTCTTGAATTTCTATTACCCAAAAAAATGGGGCAACCTAAACACGACGTAATTATTAAATAGGCCGGATACAACATGGCACAATTGCAAGCCCTACACTACGATCAAGAACGCTCCCTCTCTTAGAATAAGACTAGAGAAGGGAATTTAGAGGAAAGATTTTAGAAGCCAGTATCCAGAAGAATTATTACCTTTTGTAGTTCAGAGAATTTAACATCCATTTGCCTAAATTGAGCTTCAATCCCTCCAGTTTGAGCCTCTGAGGGACAAGCCCAACGAAGATGGAATTGAGGCCAGAGAGTTGGTGCTAAAGCTGCTGCTGGAGGTAACAGTGGACCATCATGTTTTAATGGATCATAAAAGTAGTTATAGTGCACATGAGAACTTCCCTGCGAAGCACGTAAATCAGCCAAATATGCCCACATGCATCCACAAGCTTCAGGTACACCACATAGCTGCCTCTCTCTTTCACTGAAATACATAAGCAATCGGGAAAAAGTACTTTTAGTACTTGAATAATAGTTTGCGTCAGAAGCCTCTGGGTCAACTATTCTATCAAATAAACCGAGCACAATTTTGCACGGTCAACTTGTTTTTCGAGAAGAGATGCAAAACATGCTATATTTCAAACTTCTTACCTATTACAGAAGAAGTTTCCAAAGCGACATGATAGAACACAGTCCAATAGATCAACCAGAAATGCCTTGTAAAAAAATAGTAGAAAATTTAATGAGATATTGTTCCCTGACCACAAAGGAACATTAAAAAACAGATAAAGTTGTTCCATGACACTTTCAACTGCATTCGTGAGCAGTTTCATCAGCAAAAGAAAAATGAGTGCTCTTATGAAAGAAGGATGCATACCGAAGAAAACTCAAAAGCAAAAGGATACATCCGCAGTAATTGTGAAACACAATCAACCCACTGCATCAGAAAAGCATAAGATTAGTGACTATACAGCAGAGAAAAGAAAGAAAAAAAAAAGTTCAGGTGCAACATGTTCGCAATCTCAGACCATTCCTCAAAATTAAGCACTTGGCGTTGTTTCAAGTGGAAAGGACAAACTTGACAGAAAAATGGAAGTTGACTGAGAGTGAACCGCTGCTGAAATTCAACAGAGAAGTAGTAACATTTATTTTACAATTTTGGTAATACTTGATTGCTTATTGACAGTAACTCTTACATCTCTCAATTAATAAGCTTGGCTTCTCCTATTTACCCACAAGACAACATGAAATAACAAATAAACGATGAATTTCTAACTAGGAACCTCAAAAACATATTGCACGGGCTGTACTCTATTGTAACCAATGTTGCATGGGTACTCTGTTTTTTTGGGGTTAGTGGGAGTATCAGGCTTGGATACCCCTTGATTACGTAAAATCGACTATCTGTTGAATACGGATGTTGAGGACACGAGGTGGATACGGTCAAGGATATGATTGGGGTGTTTTGCAACTTCCTTTTAAAGAGGGGTCAGATTGGCTATTTTTGAAAAGGCCAAAAGTCACAAATGATCCTTGTGGTTTATGGTAATTGTTACTTTGCCATGGTTCAAGTTTTGTCAATTTTTCCGTTATGATATATTTAAGAAACCAACTTTGGTCAAGTGTTCAATTTTCTTCAATTCATATAACTTGGTGTCCACGTGGGCTTCATGTTCAAGAGCATTATCTTCCTCTATCCAATCTCACTTATAAGTTGGTATATGAAACAACTTTTGTGGTGCATTAGAGACTTGAAACAAAGATTTTTCAGGTTTACTTGAGTGAAATCATAGTGATTCCAGATGACTTTGGGATTGGACATAAAAATACTAAAATGCCCATATACATGACACACGTGGTTGCCAAGTTACACAAAATGATGAAAATTGAACATTTAACTAAATTGATAGTAGAAGTAAATCACATGAGAAAATTTTAGTACACCACAAGGACAACAAAGAAGAAGAAAGCCTGTATGAAACTTGAACACGAATCCTTGATTTTATTGTGTTCCATTTGTGTGAATCGATTGATATTTGTTAATATGATGAATGAGTTCTTTTTTGGTTTAGAAGTATAAGAATAGGGAGTTGAATTTTAATGCACTAATTATGTACCAATATAACAAGGCGCACCTGCAGAAATATGGGAGAATAGTTATTTGAATTCTGTGAATGAGAAGGCACTTGAGACGCTGACTGGCGACTGGGTGATGATTGGAGATTCGGAGCAGAGTACTGCCTTGTTAATTCAGAAGGCATGTTGCCACTTCCTGCTGGCATGCCAACTCGATCTGCAAATGGGTGACCAAATGCTAGCCAATCTTTCTCAATGAGTGCCTGCATCAAAGCAAATAATTAAAATATTTTATAGTCACTTCAAAATCAAAAAGGAAAATTGTGAGTCAAAAGACAGACAACCGTCAACAACCACATGTTTAAACTAAATTTTTTACAATTCAACCCTGGAAAATTGACTTCCAAGATATGCACCAATTCCATAATATGGCAACTCTAGTATTGGTAGAAGAAAAAAAAGGTAAAAAAAAGGGTCTTTTTGCAATAAAGTCAACCAGATAAATATACACTGTATGTTGTCCCCAAAACAGAATTTGTTTGTCTTTAACACTATCATTTTTTTTAAATAACTACTTACAAAAGACACCCGAGGTTTTGGGGAACTTAA